CTGGTGTTGAGTTGATACTGCCTCGTAGTGACCCTATGGGACAGAGTAGGCCTGTCTCACAGGGTTGGAATCCTGATGGGGAGCAGCGTGCCACATCCTTTTTCCATGGCGTGGCTGGTGGATGATAGCCACAGAAGTAGGGACCACGTAACACAGACGAGTAATGTGAGGATCAAAGGAAATGACAGAAGTCACAAACATTGTGACAGAAACAAGGTTGCCTTGGATGGACCTATCAGATACACTTGACCTGGTCAAGGAGGTGGGGGTGGGGGGGCGTGGAGAGAGAGAGAGAGAAATGAAAAGAAGACCACACAACTTATCTATGAGCGGTGACGAATGATTTAGACATGGAGTAAAGAAATGGACTGTGGTAACAAAGATGATTCTAGAAATTCCCAGACTGAGTAATCAGTCATGGTGGTATCATTACTATAAAGAAGGGGGAACAACCTAACCACAAGCTTTAGTAGTGGAAAAAATAAGGTTGGTTTTACACATAGAAGGAGCTGGAGAGAAATGCATATGGGAAAGTTTCACATGCAGAAGTTTCGATATGGGCTTCCGAGGGGAGTCCGGATAGAGGCAGGGGAGGCATTCAGTCACCAGCAGCAGAAGTGGAGGCCCCAGGAGAGCAGTGGTGGCTATGGGGATGCATGGCAGAGCCGGGGCCAAGACCTTCAGAAAGACACATACCTACGAGGAGGAAAAGGGGCGAAGGAGCCACTGGAAGAGATAATGCTAGAATGATAAAGACATAAATGAACAACATAGAGAGATTAAGGCCTTTTTGGGTTTGGTTTGGTTTTTAAAGAAGGAAGCTGGAAGAGAGAAGATGCACAAGCTCCTCACCCACCCTCCCCAGCAATTAGACACTCTCTCCTACCACCCACGAGGAAGGAAGGGTGAGCGCAGTGTGAGCATTTGCAGCCCTCTCTGGATCAGTACCCTTCCTCCCAGGGCGCGGGGGTACCACTCACTTTGAGGCACATTGGCTGAGACTCTCTACGGCTCTCACTGCTCTTAGAGGGCAGGAATGCATTGCAAAAGCGGAGCTTAGAGGACAATACAACATGAAAGCAACCGTGCATTGAGCGCTGCAGAGGGCGCGGAAACACTCCGAAGACAGAATGCTCTGCCTTCAGAGATGTTACAAAGTCCACCTGAACGAGGAGTAAACCAAACAAAAGTATTAAATAACAATTAATACAATGGATCATATCTATAAAAATAAACTATTTATGTGTGTGTGTTTGTGTGTATAAAACACTCCACCCACCAAAAATTCATTTTACTTTCTTCTCTAGCGCCCATGGAAGCTATTCTAGAACAGACCATATTTTAGGCCACAAATTTTAGGCAAGTACAAGTAAATTTAAAAAACATTGAGATGATACAAACCATCTTTTCAGATTATATAATGCTGTAAAATAAGAAGTCACCCATAGAATGAGCAACTCTAAAACATCAAATGCATAGCAATTGAGTAACCCTTCACCCAAGAACCACTGAGTTAACTGAAGCAGGTGGCTTACTAGGAGGTACCCCCACCCCAAGGAATCCCGCTCCCTCCTCCCACCCCCCCACCCCCCCACAAAGCCATATATTTAATTATTTTACAAAACAACCTATCACCTTCCAAGTACTTCTACATTACACTTCATACATTTTCAAGTATGAGATTCCATTCTTGGAAACACTTTTCAAATTCATCTGTTTGGATGGCTGACGGCACCTCCCTCATTTTTTCGTTCACCTCTTCTATGCCATCAAATCTCTGTCCTTTCATGTCCGTTTTCATTTGTGGGAACAAAAAGACGTCGTACAGAGAGAGGTCAGGTGAGTCGGGTGCGTGGGGCAAGAGAGGCATGCTCTTTTTGGGTCAAAAATGGGTGACTGAGATGGCTATGTGCATAAGCAGGTGCATTGTCATGGAGACAAAACCAGTCCAGCATCTGCCACAAATCAGGGCTTTTGTGTCACACACTGTTGTGAAATCTTCTCAGAACCTCTACATAGAAAGCTTGATTAATAGTCTGACCTGTGGGATGCACTCCAAATGTTCTATCCCCTCACATAAAAAAACACACAAACAAACAAACAAAAACACACAAATGAGCATCATCTTGATTTTTGATTTTACTTGATGAGTTTTTTTGAGTGAGGTGACAATGATGTCTTCCACTGGCTTGATTGTTATTTGCTATTGGGGTCAGAAGATTAGCACCATGTCTTGCCAATAGTAATGACCTTGGGAAAGAGCCTGGGTTGCCTCTGAGCTGTTCTTTCTAAGTGGGGCATGCTTCCAGTCGATGCTTTTCCCGGGTCAGTCAGAAGCCGAGGCACAAATTTTGCAGTGAACCTTCTCATTCCAAATCTTCCATTAAAATTTGCTGAATCAAGTTCCAAGATAACTCAGGTAACTTCCCCAGCTCTTCAATGGTCTGTCTTTGAGCACAAGTGCATGAATTTTGTCGACATTTTCATCTGTTGGGAAATTGATGGACGTCCAGTACGAGGTTTGTCATCAATCAATATTTCACCTTTTTTGAAAGAAGAAAACCACTCGTACACTTGAGTTTTCCCCACAGCACTGTCCGTGTAAACTGTGTTCAACATCACAACAGTTTCTGTGGCACTTTTCTCGAGCAGGAAACAAAATTTCACAGCTGCACGCTGTTCTCCCAAAAAACAAGGTTCAAGTGATACTGCTTTTATGAAAAAATTCACTGTGACCACAGAAAGCCTTCCCAGGTGATGCCACTCCGTGCACTAACTCGGAGTGAGTTGCTAGATGCTCACCCAGTGGGCAACGTGGAGTACGAGAGCTCTGCTGGTATGATAGGTTGGCCCAGGGGAGCCTTTTTTTTTTTTTTTGGCTACCCCCTCGTATAGCAATATCTGCACACATCAATAGAAAAGCTTTAAATGAATACCTGCACACATCAACTACAGTAACTGGAAAAATGCAGTAAAACAAACCAACAGAAAGATTGAACAGCCACCTCACAGGAGCGCCATTAAAAGCAAAAATCTAACAGAAGGCATGGCGGATGGCTGTAATGAAGTAACAGCTCCTTTCTATATGTCCCAGTTGGTCTGCTACTTCCCAGCTTTAAATGACATTTTACATGGTCGCTTACCTTTTTTTAAATGAATTATGTCTGCAATGAGTACCACTCCTCCTTGCTACTCCTCTCAAGAGCAATGAGGAGACAACAGCGAGTCGGTAGCACTGCCAGGCCAATGGCTCCTGGCTTTGAAGAACTCATGAGTAGCTCCAGCTATCTCAGTTCTCCTCATCGAACAAACGAACAGATAAAAACTTTCTACGACCAGATTAGTTCTACTCAATTTTCCCGAATACTCCTTGAACATCTGGATCGATATGCATTCTTCTTCCCTTCACTCCAGTCCTCCAACTACCTGGAAGGACTGCGCTGACAACTGAGTTATTTGTTAACGTTTACCGAGGGCTTTCTATCTGCCAGAGACTGTTCTAAGTGTGTTATGTGTCGTACCTATGTTTAATCTTCACAAACTCTACAAGGGAGAACCTAACATCTAGGTAAGAAATGATTTATTTGCCTTCTGCAACCAGACTGTACATTCTTTTATGGTAAGAACCTTGGACTTCTTGGTATCATCACCTAATGAAACAGGAATTCAAAAAATACACAGGGAATGATTATGCTTTTTATCTTATTTTCTCTCTGTAATGTAATGCTCATTTTCATCAAATCTATTAGACTGTAAGGTAAGTGCAAAGGTCATCTAAATTCCAGAGATATGGAGAGATGTTTCCAGGGATTTAAGTCCGTCTACAGAAAGTAATAAAGCCTCCGAGTCTTGAGGGAAAATGCTGGTGGCGGTTGGGCTTCAGTTCTTCGGAAGGAATCCCCGGTGAACTAGGATTATGACAGTCTGATCTCTCTTGATTAAGGTCATCGTAACCACCAACAAGAAAACTCGTGGAAATGGAAAACTTTAAATAAGTGAAAGCAAATAAGATTCACAAAATATGGCAATAATATTTGTTTTGTATATTTTTGAAGGCATCGCTGTAGGGAGAGAAGAGAAATGCTGAAAGTCCTGATTCTTCACTGGGCTTGTTGCTACAGGAAAAGCTATTTTTTCACAGGTAGCAATCAATATCCAATAACATCCTCTCCCCTTAATGGGAGAAATAATCATTTTGGATGCTTACAAAACAGATTCTACTTCAAGGCACATTCTGAAATCATATCAACCACGGTAACTCCTAGTTCTTTTGAGGAATAACCAAAACATTTAAATCACAGCTCCCTCATTACACAGCTCTTTAGCCAAGTTCTCAGACACAAGGAAGACATTATTTTGCTTAAAAGCTGATCATTTCCTATTACTTGTGATTTAAACATGAATATTACTAGAGGAATAGCAAATCTACCTCAAGTACTATTCATGCCTAAATCACAATAGGAAATGACCTGCTTTTGAGCAAAATAATTTTTAAAAATGTATGAATTTATGATTAATTTATGAAAATGGCATTTTTCATTGGTCGTCTACTGTCTCCTTTTAAGGCCAAAGATGCTGAGGTTTTCAAATTAGTTTGTTTGTATCGTTACGTCTGAAAATAAGAAAGGCTACCATGGTGCTCAGGTCCTCGGTTGCTTCACTGAGGGGCATACAAGAAGTGCCGGTGCACAACACCTTCAACTCAGTGTTGGCCGGGGCATCCCCCAACTGCTGGCCCCGAGGGTGTGTCAGGCAGCCAGCGTTACACTCAAACATAAAGCCCTGTTGGTATTTTACACATAACCCAGGAAGCAAAACACAGGCCCAAACTCTTGAGTTTTCAATTTCATCTTCAGATAACTGTACGCTTTCCCCTCCCTGTTTTAAGAATCTGTTGTCGCGTTTGCATAGCTTGAATGCTCCCATGATAAAAAACAGTAAAATAATAAACAATCCTGTGTGTACTTTCAACATCACCCAGGTTTTAAACAAATTGTTACCAGTCTCTGTTTCTGAAGCTCTTCTCTAAGAAGTCTATCTTCTGGTAAAACGTCACATAACAAAAAATAATTGTCTTGTTCTTCTGTTGAGAGATCAAAAAACAAATGAGAAAAAAAGGTTATATGTAATTTATTCCTACAGAAAGATTTATTCCTGTGAGTGTGTGTGTGTGAGTGTGTGAGAGTGTGTGTGTGTGTGTGTGTGTGTGTGTGTGTGTGTGTGTGTGAGGAACTCCTCTGCTGTGGAGTTCTGCTTTAGCAATATTCAGGTTAGGCAAGATAAATACAGCAATTTAATTTTTGCTATCATGAACATAAGAGTAACTCGAATTTATCTGTGAAATTATTCCTTTAATTCTTGGATCGTAGGGAAAAGATGTGAACTTACCAAGTGGGCCTGTAGAATTGATTCTTATCACACTACAAAAATCTGTGATGGGCTGCTCAGTGAACCTTTTCCTCCAATATAAAATGTACCTTAAGACAATCAAAAAGAAAGGACAGTGAGAAGACTCAATACACGACAGCCACTCTGCCCTTATCGACTATCTCATTACCTGTTATTTCACTTTACAACAGCAATAAAACATCTACTGTGATAGATAGGTTTTTTGTCACATGGGCTGGGCCAAGATGCTCACCGGTTTGGCATTTGAGGCCTACTCATCTCCCATGATGCAACCTAACACAATGTAATTACCTCCATAATGGAATCTGCTGACAGAAGCCAGGCGATTGTAAGAAGATTAGGGTAGTGTGCGACCCCTCCCCCCCACTCTCTTACTCAGGTGTGGCTTATTTCCTATACGACTGGATGCTGTGGGGAAGCTTATTTGCTTTTTGCTGGGTCACTGACCTCCAATTTTTAGACTTAAGCCAGTGACCTGTCCTATTGCTTGCCAATCCTGGGAGTCATTAGAGGCCTGCCATTCAATGTGCTGGCTTTGGTTGGATTCATTTGCCTCACTAGTTACAGGCCTGACCTGCTGCCACCAGCCATCATCACTCCCTGAAGCTACACAAGTCCTAAGATACCCCCTACTTGGCAACTGACCCATAGGGTCGAGACCAGACTATACTCACCTGCTTCTGCAACTGTGCAACGTGTATTCTTGATACACTTTTCTCTATACATAAACGTTTAATAGGATATCGTTTAGTTTCTCCAGAGAACCAAGCCTAAGACATCAGCTATTTGGCTGCTTGTGCACTGCTGACGCGTCGGGCAGTACAGAAGGCCACAGTGCTAGCTGCGAGGGTGAAGGTGACGCGCCAACTTGGTTGGGCCGCAATTCTCAGTGGCTTGGCATTTGCACCAGAATGTAATGTGGCAGAATGTCCGTGTACTCTGGCAACCGTGTAGTGATGTGGTCTAGCAGTTATGTAATGAAGTGGTCATCCTCCATTTTGTGACCTCATGTGGTAGCCCTGCATTTTGAATAATACCAATTGTTAAATAAGGACCTGGTCTTTGGAGCCTAACCATGTTGGCAAGTGAGGAGTGGGTTACTTCCTTTAGAATGAAAGGATTTTTAAAGAACATTTATTTATTTCAAAGCAACAAATAAAATGGTGACTAATGACTTGTATGAAATGTAAGAATAGAAAGCAGTATATAAATTGACATATTTAATAAACTGAAATTATCCTGGAAAGGCAGGGAGATGATTACCGTATATACTCCTGTGTAAGCCGAGTTTTCCAGCACATTTTTAATGCAGTTTTTGTGGTAAAATTAGGTGTCTTGGCTGACATTCGGGTCAGCTTATACTTGAGTATATATGGAACATTTTAGTACTAACACTAGAGTCAATAAACAGACATATAGGAAAGTTGTTATTATGTTAGTCATGATTTTCTGAGATGGTAGCTAAGTTTATGTGAATTTAAAATCCAACAGATATGAAGCAGTTTATATCATATAGTTTCCAATAAAGAGAAAGGTGAGTGATTATCTAAGTTATCAAACAAACAAACAAACAAAAATTAAACGCCCCCAGTCTAGATATCAGAAGAATAACAATGAGAAATCAATCTAAATTCAGTTTCTATAATAATACCTATGTCAGACTATATTTGAAATAAGGTAAATTTAACCTTTGGAAAAATAACCAAGGTTGCCATGCTTACGTGTGATGAGCAGAGCGAGGAGACAGTTAACTTTCAAAGGAAAGACTTACACCCAGAGGTGCAATCCTGAAGACAGAGGGACTCAGCTGAGAAGACTCAAAGGTCTGTTCATCTTTCCATTTATCAATAAGATCTGTATTGCAATTGCAACCTCATTTGTCAAGCATATCAAGAAGAAAGTGTGGTCTCTTTCATGAGGAGAAAGGAAATTAAAAGGCTGACTCCATAGCTGACAATTCATCAGGCTTCACAGTTGCTGGATTACACGTACAACAAAGAACCAAAGCCAAGTAAAAGAGCTGGGAGTTAGAAATAGATATACATCTAAAATAGGCAGTTGGACATTTTTAATGGCTTCAGTGTTTTCCACAAATAAGGCCCACACATTTCAGAGGTAGGCAAGTATTTGACAATTCTCGTCACCTACTCTAAGTCGTTCCTAACTCCCAGGATCCGGTCTTCCTTTTTTACCCTTCTCTTGACATTAATTACCTTATCTCAATGACCAACTTCACGATGCTATCTCAGGTATTCAGATATATAGGCAGGGACAATGAATTATTTAATGAGGGTCTTCTAGCCCAAGTCTCTCACTCCCACCAAAGAACTGTTTCCTACATGTGTCTGGTAAGAAGGTGGGGGAGCACACTTGGAGGATTCACCTGTGAGCAACTGTGAACAGGATGTCCTGCAATGTCATCCTATTGGGTATAAAATGAGTCCTCAGAGAAGCCAGGAGTGGAGCTTGTCACCTGGACTTCATAACCTTGAGCAGGGACCCTCCTGGCTCCAGAAGACAGCCCTAGCATTAGAGGAGCAGCTCCCGAACCAGGAGCCGGAGCATGGGACCATGCAGAGGATTTTCCAATCCACAGAGCAGGTCAAGCTGAGTGCCTTGGGGCAGGAGGCTGGCTTATGGAGTGGGGTGTCCCTGGGACCTCACTGGGGAAGTGGAGCTGAGTGCCTTCTAGTGTAGGCTAACTGGAGTTGGGTGCTCTGGATACTTTACTCAGGGAGCTGGTTTGCAGATCCATGCGGCTTGAGCTGAATGCCTGCGGATTGAAGCCGACAGCTGAGTGATATGCCCCTGATCTGAAAGAACTTTGTAACATGTCCTGGTAAGCAACTACCCTGGGTCTTTCTCACCGGCAGCACAGCTTGTTAACTTCCTTCATAAACCCTTAATCATGAAGTGTGTCTGTGAGCTCTGGTAGCCACTGCAATAGCTAGTAGGACCCTGAGAGGTAAAATAGAGAATACCACTTCACACACACACACACACACTCTCTCTCTCTCTCTCTCACACAGACACACTCATGCACACACACACACTCTTTCTCTCACAGACACACTCATGCACACATGCACACACACACTCTCTCTTTCTCTCACAGACACACTCATGCACACATGCACACACACACTCTTTTCAAGGCTCTAGTTGTGTGCCGGGGACAGCTCTGAGACGAGAGAACCATAACATGGGTTGACATGAAATATAAATGGATGATAGTATTGAATGAGTAGTAAGAAAAAGTAGTAAATAAATACTATATAAGGGGGTGAAGGGAGACACCAGACAGGATAAGATAGGATAAAATAATAATAATTTATAAAATATCAAGGGTTCATGAGGGAGGGGGAAGCGGGGAGGGAAGGGAAAAATGAGGAACTGATACCAAAGGCTCAAGTTGAAAGAAAATGTTTTGAGAATGATGAGGGAAACAGATGTACAAATATGCTTGACACAATGGATGTATGTATGGATTGTGATAAGAGTTGTATGAGGCCCCAATAAAATGATTAAATAATAAAAAAAGAATATATTCATAAAAAAGAGTTGTACAAGCCCCAATAAAATGATTTATTTTAAAAAAGGAAAGAAAATGATGATCGCAACATATGCACAAATATGCTCGATACCAATGATGTATGGATGGTTATAAGAGCTATAAGAGCCCTCGATAAAATGATTAAAAAGAACACCCCCCCTCCCCCGCGTGCTTTTGTTCTTTCTTTCCATATCCAATCGTTGTAAACCTTGATGGGATGATGAAGGAGAGGAGCCTTTCCTTACCAACTGTGCTGGACTTTATCTGAAGAGGTCTGAGCACTACACACCTTAGGCTCCAGTGCAGCCTCGAACTACTAGCACTATAGTTGCTGTACCTTGACCATGACTCTATGGCGAGGGCATTGGTTTCCATATTAGAAATAGCAAAAAGAAGGTAAGTTACATGTGTATCAGATTCATCAAAGTAGGAAAAGAGGTGGAAACATAATTTCCTTCGGCACCCAGGACCAACTTCAGCACCCTCTAACTCCTCAATGTCTGACACAGCTCCTCTTAATCTCCACTTTCCCACTTCCCACCAGTAGTCCCTTCTCCTGGGAGAGAAGGGAGAGGGAGAAGGAAAAGGCAGAAGTCTCTAAGAAAACAGAAGGCACATCCTAATGCGCCCCATCAGAATCCCACCCCCCTTTCTAATTCTCCCCTCAGCACTTGGAGACGATGAACTGCTGGTCCAATTGAAAATATACAGACATCTATTTTCATGACTAATAACATTTATATGGCAGGACCAGGTGCAGAAATAGCTGATTATAAAAGACAGGAAGGCCAAATTTACTCTGGAGCTCTCTGATGGCTACTCTGAAAAGACACCCACTAGATGCTCACCACTCCTTGCTACCACTCCACAGAGGACCATCTTGCCAATATCCCTTGGACAAAACTGAGAACAGTGGTCTGTCCTACGTAGTATTAGTACAGTCTGGTCAACAGACTGCTAAAGGCATGGGCAACCACTTGCACACACAGGCTGTCTAGAAGAGGGACTTACAGAAAAGGGACTTAGAGAAGGATTGGGCTGAAACCAGGTGAAGCAGGTGACCAAGTAAGAGCTTGGATCCCACTGATCAGGTAGCCTTTTGAATATCCATGACTTTTTAAAAAAATGAACGGTCAATACCATCCCTCTCTTATCTGTACAAATTTGGTGCCGGAAGAAATTTTCTTTGTAAATTAAGACCGATCAAACCCTCAATTATTGCATTAATAACTAACTTTATCACCACTTTGGGAGACAATATTGACTGCATTCAGATGTAAACCTGAATTTAAAGTTATTGTTCTTGGATATTTGGTTTGCTTAGGTGCAAAATAAGTCACTAATGATGAGAAAAGCACACTGCATGTAGAGCAGTATTCAAGAGCCTGGGTGTTTAACAGACGTTAGCTATTCTTACATAGGAGCGCTGGTTGTGCAGTGGTTAAGCTGCACCATGGGAGAGAGTTGTGGCTGTTTACAGCCTTGGAAACCCTAAGGGGCACTTCTACTCTGCCC